GCCACCACTGGGCAGGTCGTGGTGGCCGGAAGCCAGGAAAAAGATTCCTGCATCCGCCGCCTCCTCCTCCCCCTCATGCTGCTGCCTTTCTCCCTTCTCACCCTTTTCTTCCCGCTTTCCCTTTGACTGTTACTCCTGATTGGGGAGAGCTCATGATGGCAGCTTTGAGTCACTGTTTGTTGTCGAGGCGTTCCGCCGTACGCAGTGGACGCTTCAATATCATATACCATCATCACCATCATCGTCATCATAATCATCATCATCACCACCATCATCCACATCATCATCATCATCATCATCATCATCATCATCATCATCATCATCAGCATCATCATGACCATCATCAGCATCATCACCATCATCAGCATCAGCAGCATCACCATAATCAAGACCATCACCATCATCATCGTCAGCAGCAGCTACATCAGCACTAGCACTCATTATCACCATCATCATCATCATCATCATCATCATCATCATCATCATCATTATCAACAACATCAGTATCACCATCATGGCCATTACCATCATTATTACGGCCACTCATCACTATCATCACCACCAATTATCATCAGCATCATCAGCATCATCATCATCACCATCACCACCATCTTCATCATCATTATCATCATCATGACCCCGCTTCTTCGTACGGCCATTTTCTACTTTTCCTCCGTCTCCTCTTCTGTTTCATCTTCCTCCTCCTTCTCCCGCTCTTCTCCTCCTTTCCTTTCCCTTCTCAGGGACCGGATCTCGCAATACCTGTTGTTCTGGCTGCCTCGAACTTCAAAATCATAGCCTGGGAAGTCGCGAGGCATCCGTGCAGCCACTCGAACTCTGGGACTAGCAGACACATTTCTGACGATGCGGCGATCGGAGGAGCGCGCCACAGCTTTGCAGCGCGCCCTTGGTTTAAATTTCTTCGTCGCAGGGAGTTTCATGCGCTGTCTCTGGGCCGCACCCGGCGCGAGGGCGCGAGGGTGCGCATGTACAATGACTCGCTGCCCAAATGGTAGCCAGATGATTGCAACCCTTTACGGAACCCTAACGATGCAGCTGTACGTCGGGCTTCCGTCGATTTTTTCGGCAACAGACAGCCGAGCATACATAGCCTCTCTTGCCCAGCCTTCCAACACCACGCTGCTGAATATAACTTAATGTTTCGCGCCGGTCGCCGCCGCCGCCCGCTGGCAGGCCTTAGGCCCCCGGGCCGCCGCTTGGCGAAGGCACCCCTTGAGACAGGGAGCAAGAGAGGGTGGAACCACCCGCCCCACTTGGGAAGGACGGCCAGGGGTCATCGTGAAGAGAGGGGCTGCCGGAGGGCCGCAGGGGAGGGTTGGGATGCGCACGCGTATTGATTGTCGCCGACCACCCCGAACGCAATGTAATGCCCGCTGTGCACGGACGGCCGCGAAGCTTTCCCAGGTGTATGCACAGCGACCCCAGAAAGCTCGTACTCGCACCCTCCTCCCTCCGGCGTCAGAATCTGCGGGAAAATAATGCGCCGCCTGTCGTACAGCGAGGGTGAAGAGATGAGGGTGTCAGGGCGCACGGGGGATTATGATGGCGTGGAGGGCGGTGAGGGTGGGTCTCAAGATGCTTCCATCGGTCTGGAAAGGTCCGAACGCGTACCAAACGTCCCATCTTCTCATCCTCGTGCCGTGACTCCACTCTCGGGCGGGGGCAGAGTGATTAAAACGTTGTGCTTGCGTGTGTTATAAGAGGTTGTTGCACACCACTCAATGGTATGTCAGCAGCTGTTTCCGTTCTCTCGCTGTTTCGATCCTGAACATCTTCGCGAATTCTGACTTGGTGAGTGACGAATCACACGATTTTATCGGGGCTGAAAACATGAAGATCGCGATGGTGATGGCGATGGTGCGACGATGGAAAGGTGGCCATGCTCATCGGCATAGTTATACGTATGCATATGCATATCAGTATGGCGGATTCCGGAAACCCTGAACCCACACATGTTGGCGTGTTTTTGGGGCGCGTATCTTTTGTTTCCGCCGGCTTCCGCCGACCTTCCGCAGGCTTTTGCAGGCGGAGGCGGCCTCTTTTTACTTCCGCGGGCTTCCGCCGCCCTTTCGCCACCTTCCGCGGATGGATCCTCGTAGGCGAGGCCGTTTCTTATATATCTACATGTGCGTATATACAAATGTATACATGTGGATGTGCATCGCATGTGTATATATATATGTAGTTTTACATATGTATATATACATGGATATGCATACACATACATATATATGTGTGTGTAGATATGTATATACATGTATGTGTGTATATATATATATATATATGTATGTGCACGTGTGTGTACATATACACACACAAAGTGGCCTTCGGCCCATCCCGCCACCGTGCCTGGGTTGTTGGTTAGAAGCCTTTTGCATGTTCGTTGGGACATCGTGGGAGGCCTCTCGCGGGTCTCTTGGAGGCAGTTTTGATGCCTCCTGAGGGCTGTTTGGGCTGTTAGAGGGCCTCTTTGGGGGCC